GAGGCTGGAGGGATCCATGTCAAGGGACTGGGGTAGATGCATGATCCTGTTGTGCTAAGAGAAGCCTGGCATTACTGAGTGTTTCATGAAATGCAGTTTCTGTGTGGGAAAGCAAGTGTTTCTTCAGTGTCATTTCCCTCCCCCTGCATTTAACTTTGTAAGCTGACAGCTTCCTCCTGACTTTCCTACCTGCAGACCCAACAGCTCCCAACGTGGTGGTCACCCGACTCACCCTCGTATGTGACTCTGCTCCTGGACCGATCACTATGGACCTTACAGGTAGGCACAGACTCTGTCCTTGAGCATGCAGGGGAACAAGCAAAGGCCCTGGCATGCTTCAAATTGAAAGGGAGTTTGTCCTCGGGATGCTTCAGTGAGTTTTAGAGGAAGTCTGAGGGCATCTTAGCCTTGTTTCTTATTTTAAGGTATACATGTATGAAAAAGAAAAGGAGTTGTAACAGAGGAGAGTGGTGAAGATCTCTTTCTTCATCTAGGCTGCTCTAAGAGCTCCTGGGTTTCTCCTGCCTTCTCTTCTTACTTCCTTTCAGTGAGACCTCATGAGCACAAGGGATGTGCATGCGTTTGGGTAATGCTGTTTTGAAACTTCAGAATCGAGCAATACTGCAGTTCCGGCTCCTGGGGACATGGGGAGAGAACCAGGCTTCACCTTATATGGGCTTTTCTGCAGAGAGGAAGCTGGGCCCGGAGGAGCAGAGAAGCTTCCTGTTCAACCAAAACCACACAGAGCCCTGCAGAAACTGGGCAGCCTTGCAAGCTGGGCAGGAGCTGTGAGACATGCTCTGCTTGCCCAAGCCAGGGCTGGGCATGGGTCAAGCAGGCACGCACTCCTGCAGATGCCTGACGATGACTCTGTGCATAAATACCTTTGTGTATATGTGTCTAGACCTGTGTATGCTTAGGTGTTATCATAGGTGTGGACACAGACACACCTGTGCATGTGCTCTCGGAGTGCAATTGCTTATACAGACCTCCGTGTGCTCATTTTGCGGGTGTGTCATCCATCAAAGGGATGTGTACCTCCAACGCCAATCCCAGCACCGTCCCACCACGTGTGGTCTCTTCTTGCTGTGATGCCTCTAGCTAATAGCTTGATCCTCTCCTTACAGGTGACCTTGAAGCGCTCAAGAAAGAGACCTTCGTATTAAAGGAAGGAGTGGAATACAGAGTTAAGATCCACTTCAAAGTGAGTTGTTTTCCTCCTTGTTACTTCTCATCAGTTGCTGAGACCAGTCGCTGACAGTCTGTCGGGATAACTAGGACGGGCATCGTGCCTACCCAAAAGCTGGGCCTTTGTAAAGTTCCCCTAGCTTCTGGTGGTGTTCTATTCAACAAGGGACCGGATCTTTCCAGGGAATTGCTTCTGCTTGCTCACCCGTTGGAAAAAGTTGCTTCCTGTCCACTCACAGTGGTGAACAACAGGTGGTTTGGAAGCCAGATGGGTAGTTTTGGCTGAGCTTGGCTTGACTTTTGAGCCACGAGAAAATCTTTAATTCACACAAAGCGGGAATGGACAGGGAGGAGAAGAGATGATAGCTTTCCATGGAGTACTGGTTCAGTTTGTATGGCTGGGCTTCGTGCGTGCATAAAAAACAATTTAATACTGTAGCATTTGGCTGACAATACCTGAGTTCTTCTGTATCCCAGTATACCCAAATGGGTTCATTTCTCCACCTCTCTTATTAACCGGTGTCTCAGCCATTTCTTCTGTCTCCAGCTCAAAATGAAACTTGGCCACACTGCAGTGTGGCATCTAGCGCTGACGTGATCGTCTCCACACGTTTGCTGCAGACAGAGCTGGCTTTGGCAGAGAAGGCAAAAAGGGATGGAGGCTTGTTCTCCTGTAATTGTGGAGGGAAAGTGTTAATGTTGTGTGTTCTGTAGGAAAGATTTCCCTTCTTCTCTGAGGCTTGCTTGCTGTCTTGGGGGTGACTGTCCCCAGAGACACCTCCAGCTCTCCTTTGTGCTATGAAATATTTCCACCTGTATCTGAGCCCTGTTGACAGGAGACGCCTGGAGCCAGTCAAGTTTTTCTGACTCTCTCCCTCAGTCCCAAGGCTGGTGAGAGCTGGCACCATGTGAAGTCTCCCCTGGGACGTAAAAGGATCTGCCCGTCTTGTTTCCAGATTGAGCAGTGCTGTGGGGAGGCAGTGTGTGCTGGAGGGGGACAGCAAGGGAAACATCCAAGCTATTCATGGGAGATTTGAGGAAAGATTATGAACAAAACTGTGTCCCTCTGTCTCTTGAGAAGAAACTTTCTGGCTCTCCATGGAGCTTAGAGGGCAGCTGGGAGTTCTCAGTTAATCTTGCCCACCCATTTGTGCTGGAGGGGTGACTCTAGTCACCCATTTCTGGTTTTCAGGATGGAAACTGTTAACTGGGAACTCTCTGCTTCAATTTGTCCTCATCAGCCCATCCTGGGAAGCTGACTGATGTGCTCCAGTCTGCTTCAAAGTCAGGGAAAGGATGGGGAAGGGCAGGAGATGCACAGCGGGTGCTGTAGGTTTCCAGGTGCTTATGGAGAAGTCATGTTAGGACTCACCACAGTGTGTTCTGTGCTGAGCCCTTGAGAGCAGTGGTGTAGGGAGCCAAGATGAATATGTCTCTAAGGAGAGAAAAACAGCAGATAAAGACCCGAAAGCCTTCCTGTGACACTTACTTCTGGTCACTTCTTGCAGGTAAACAGGGACATCGTGTCGGGACTGAAATACGTGCAGCACACCTACCGGACAGGGGTGAAGGGTGAGTACGAGACCTTTGTGCCCTACACACCAGGGCTCCTGCCACCCTGTTCCCTCTGCTCAAAGAAGTGTTCCTGCAGCTCTGGGCTGGGACAGAGCCTTCGTTAGCCCTGAGCCACCCCCCGGCACCACCACACGGGAGGCGAGACTTCTCAGCAGAGTGCATTAGCCTGCACTCTGCATCACCCAGACCAACTGTTTCCTGTTCCTGTGTGAACTCAGTACAAGCCAGCTCTGGTGTCTACGCTACAGCACTGTCTGCAGCAGCAAAGTCCCCAGAGGTGCTGTTTAGACAGTGCTTGCCACAGATTTCCTCTCCATGCAGAGCTCTTCACCTTCCCCCTATCCCCTGTAGAGTAGTTCACCCTGTGTAGAGATTCTCAGTCCCTGAAAGCTCTTCCAGATGCATTTGGTAAAATTAGGAGCTGCTTCACAAAGCTTCCCGCTGTCTGTGGAGCTCTGTGTTTGCCTGTGACCTCTCCTTTTTGTACTGCCCTGCCTGGACAAGGCAGAGGAAAGACCCATTTTGCATATACACATCCTACGTGCATTTTTGCATGCAACCATCTCTGAGGCTCCAGTGTCCCGTTCAGCACACGTAAGTGGTGTTTTCTCACCAGAAAAAGATTAGTAGGGGATCAAGAGACATCATGAGCTGTATGCTGGTTGTGCCCACTCCTTTCCAGGAGCATGTAGATGTGAGAAGGTACAGACTGAGCTGCCTGTCCATCTACTTATCCATCTACTTTCCAGCTGTTGTTGTGCTTCAGTAACCCACTTTTTCCACTGATTCTGTTCCTCTTGCTGACACAGACCGTTCCTTTCTCTTCCTACTATCACTTTTCTGTCCATGATCTGTGCTTATGCTCGTGGCTTCTTCTCTCCTTTATCATTCTGATGGGCTCATCCCTTGTGGGTTGTTTTCTCCTAGTGGACAAAGCCACATTCATGGTTGGCAGCTACGGGCCACGGCCAGAGGAGTATGAGTTCCTGACGCCTATTGAGGAGGCTCCTAAGGGTATGCTGGCTCGAGGCACCTATCACAACAAGTCCTTCTTCACGGATGATGACAAGCACGACCATCTCACCTGGGAGTGGAACCTGTCCATCAAGAAGGAATGGACAGAATGAGTTCACCCAGTTTGCCTTCCCCCTTCCCATCCCCTTGCCTCCTGCACCAGTCTCCAGGTGGGCCATGCCCACCATGCTGCTCCTTCCTGCCACCGTGGCCGGCCACAGCCCTGGCAGCCCGTCCCGGGGGAGCTGGGGCTCTGTGCCAGCCTCGGTCGATGCACAGTCCTGCAGGCGGCCTTTGCTGCTGCTCCTGATACACTGAAAATAACCCGCCCGTGCTCACCACTGCCCCATCATGACATATAATGGGTTAAATTGGGAAGCATCTCCCTCCCTCTCTCCCAGTTCTTCCTCCTGCTGCCTCCATCTCTCCTGTACCAACTATGGTCCCGGAAGTGCCTTTTCTAGGAAACAAGATCACCTGGCAGGGCGGACTGGTCCCTGGAAAATCCCTATCTGAGTTACACTTGCCATGTGCTCTGACTCATTGTAAACGGTTACTTACCTCCCGTGATGGTCTCCTGGTCTGTGTCTGGTGCCCTACCCCGTTAAAGTCCATCCTTGTGCAGGCAAAACCAGTCAGGGGGAATGCAGCTAGATGCTGTAACAAGACTTCAGTGTCCCAAGAATAAAACCAATTTCTTTCTTCTTTTCTGCATGAGTGTCACATTCTTTTCTGGAGTATGTTTTTCAGTGAGGTGGATGTGGAGAATGCATGAGAAGACTTAAGAGCATGTTTCAGAAGGGAAATAGCCCTCCTCTTCAAAACAACAGCCTAAATATAGGCAATTTATTTCAGAGCTGCTTCCTTCAGGGGTTTCACAAGTCCCTTGATGCCCAAAGTCTGGTCTGCGATGGAAGTACACTCCAGGGGTGGTCAGCCCCCACCTCATCTTGGGTGGCAACTGAATGAGCCCAAGGAGCTATTATATGGCTGTCTCATGATTAATGCTTATCATGGCAGCTGTTCCTCATAGCCAGAGCCAACGCAAGAGCTGGATGTCCCAGTGGCTACCCTGCTGGCCAAGCACCAGGGAGCATCAGCCTCTCTGGGACCCAGCACTTGGAGAAGTGCAGTGGCTCCTGCATGGAGTGATGTTCTTACTTGACCGGGGCACCTGGTCACACAAGTGCAGGTAGCTGAGGTTTCCGGTGTTGTGGGTGAGGATGTGCTTGTGGCAGCGTTGGTGAGGCTCTCCAAGGTTGGTGCCTGTACAGCAGGCAGGGGCTCTCTCCTAGCCAGGCGGTTATCTCAGGAGCTGAAGGCTTCACCCTGGGCCAGCTGCTCCTTTCCCACTGCCCCAGGAGTGACTGCGGGCCCCTGCAGCAGCTGACGTGTCTTTCTCTGAAGAGAGGACCGGAGCGGTGTGGCACGGTGAGGAGAAGGCAAGCTGGCACTATGGGCACCTCCATCTTCCTGTGCCTCTTCGTTCTCCTGCTCACTGGGGGCTCCCCAGCTGGGTGTGCTGGAGGTGGCAGCTCTTCATCCCGTGGTAAGTGAGCTGTCCTCCCGGCTGAGGGAAAAGGGTGGATCTGCTGTGGGGAGACCTCCTTATGCTTACCCAGGGTGTGCTATGCAAACATGTTGAACTTTCAGGAGAGGGGTGTGGGTGGGCATGTAAGGGGTGGGATGCTTGTGTGCGTGTTGGGGGAGCCTCTTTGAGCTGGTCTTTGTGGCCAATCCTGGCCTCTCTTCTCCAGGCGCAGCGGCCACTGCAGAGAAGCCTGTCCTCTTGAGCAGCATTGCTGACGCCGAAGCCTTCATTGACGGTGCAGAGGTGGTGGTCATTGGATTCTTCCAGGTGTGTTCATAACACTTCTCCCTGCCAGCTGTGAGCCCTGTCCCACCCTGACAGGAGCGTGGGGGCTGGATGTGGCGTAAACACCTTCCAGAGGCAACTTCTGTCCCGAAAAGTGCTGGGTGTGTGACAGGCATGCAGAGGGATTTGTTGACAGGTCACAAGGAGAATGCCAGGAATTCGGTCTGCTGTGAAAGGGAGATGGAACAAAAGAGGAAGGTGAAGGAGGTCACAGGAGCCCTGGAGGGGGAGAGAGGGAAATGCTACAGGGGAAGCAAAACTGAAATGTGGGTGGCAGAGAAATAGTGCTGGTGAGGGGTAAGTGGGAATGTCAGTTGTTTGCTTTAGTCAGCAAAGACAGAGCAAGGCACTGCCTGCGCAGCAGGGCTGGGGAAGCTGGGTCTCGGGGAGCAGCACTGGTGTGGGTCCTCTGAAGTCCAAGAGCATTTGCTCTCAAGGTGCAGCCTTCTCCCTCCAGGGAGGGTGTAGGCATCGTCTCCCTGACTTGCTGCTTCGTTCCCTAGAGTGGATATCCTTGGGATCTCCGCTCTCTGTGTCTACATTCAGTTGGATTCAGTCAAAGGTATTAGAGTGACTGGTGGGTGTGTGCCCCTTGCCCCCAAAATGAATATTTTTCCTTAGGATATAAGACAAAAATATTTATTGAGTTAGGACACCATAAAACAGAGGCTTTTTAAACAGGATCCTTACTGTTTTTAAGGTTCCCAAGCTACACCTTTCCCCCCCCTCTTTTCCTTGAGCTCCGCCCTGGGCTCCTGCTGCCCACGCGCTACCTCATAGCTTCTGTCAGAGAAGATGTCATCCTTTCAAAAACAACTCCTTTCTGCAAGCTCCATCCTCCTCCTGCCCCGTGCCTGGGGGCTGGAGGGCAGCCGAGGGAGGGCTTGGTGCAGGACGATGACGCTCCGCAGCCGGCGGCGCAGAGCGAGGAGCGATGTCTCTGCCTCTGCAGCTCAGCCAGCAACAAGTGCCTGAGTGCCAGGGGCTGCTGCCCCCGGGGTCCTTGCTGGGCACTGATAACAGAGCAGCAGCCTCCTGGCCTCCAGTGCCCGTGGGTCTGGCAGCGCTATGGTCCTGCAAACCAGCCAGGCACCCTGCTCACGCAGAAGGAGAGGGCACAGACCAGACACCCCCTCCCACCCAGGACTCCCCGCTGCTGCAGGGTTTAATTCATCAGAGATGACAGGACGCGGGGTCCCGGGGCAGGGAGGGGTGGCTGTGCCATCCTGCAGCGTGTGGGGACAGCCCCCAGCTGCCAGCAGCACGGGGCAGCCGCCAGCGAGGTGTCGGGCATTCAGTGCCTGAAGCACGACAGGGCTGCGTTTAAACAGTAGATAAAGACCTATGTGTGCCATGGGGGCTCGTCTTGGCCCTCTGCCCGAGAGTATATTCATCCAAATAATGTCCGTGTTCTCTGTGAGCCATAAATTATTTCTCTGCTGCAGCCTTTCAATTGGCTGCAGAGCGCTGCTCGGCAAGCTCCCCTGATAATGAGCACGGCCTCCCTGACTGGGAACAGCATGCCGTGATGGAAAAACAGCACACTGCTCCAGAAACCCTGCGTGTCTGCGAGAAAGGGCCATGCTTGGCCTGATTAAACCCCAGCTTTCCCAGGAATGCTCCAAAATTCAGTGAGGTTATTCCCACCCCAGGCTTTTAGCGCTCTCACCAGAGCCATGTCAATGTGCTGGCATTTCCAAAACAAGTCACAAGAGTTGTTTTTCTTTGAATGCAGAAAGAATTTTGTTTTCCATTCTCTCTGGGCTGAGCTGACGGTACAAACCAAAAAGAAAAACAAACCAATTTTCCAGCGGAGACTGTGTCTTGAGAATTTAAATCCAATAAGTAGAAGCATCAAAAAATACATCACTCAAAAGAAAAGCTGGGAATGGGAATAGCAGGGGAGGCTTTAGTACAGGCTAAGGCTGTAGCTAATGCTCTCAGTGCAGAAAACAGAACGAACCTGGAATTATTGAGAAACTGTACACTTCTATCCTTAGATGTATCTGCATTAGCTACTTTTCAAAGGATGAGTTTAAGACACCCTTTTAAAAGAAGCGAGGATACTGCCAATGCAAGGTGTTTAAAAATTGTAAACCCCTGACACCAGAATCAAGGCTTTCTTAAAAATTATGGTTTTATATATTTCTTACAGCGACATATATGTATATGTGTATATATATGTCTGTGTATACAAATGTATATTTATTTAAGCGTGCTACATCCAGACTCTGGGTTTCTCCCCTCCCTTTTAAGATCTCTAGGGCTTCCCATCCTCACCTGTGTTACCTGGACCAAGGAGGGAGGTTGGGGGGAGCTGGAAGGCGCGATGCCCAGGCTGCCCTTGCCGCCTGCTGGCTGTGGCTCCCACACCGCTGCCGGGTGCCTCCCCCGGGTTTGGGAGGAGAGCTGGGTTGGCGGGGGGGGGTCATCTCTGTAGCATCCCTCCACGCAGACGAGGCGATAGGGGCAGAGAGACACGCTCACCCCGGCGCCCCAACACGGGCTCCCCCTTCCTTTGGCTGCCCCCCGCTCCCCCGGCGGGGCTGGGGGGGGTGCGGCTCTGC